GGGTCATTTTTTTCATTATTTGACTTCATAGCGGACTTTCACCGTGGGAGGGGTGGCAGGGTAGAAGCTTCCAGATGTTATGTCATAGGTGAGAAACACACCCAGGACCAAGGTGGCTCCCTATCGTGTCCCGTGGCTACACGCTGGAGGTGCAGGGAGATACCAGTGCCTGGACCCGGGCCAGCGGGAGGCTGTGGACGGGGCAGCCGGCACCCGGCTCCCCAGCCTCAGTCCTGGCCCTGCTCCAACTTTCATTTTCACAAAGACAAAAATCGAAACTCAGACTCAGCTGAGCGCTAGTCCAAAGAGGTGTGTCTGCCCCCCGTGACAGTCTGCTTGCACACATATAAGCGAGCCTGGGAGCCACGGGCAGCCACGGGCAGCCACGGGCAGCCACGGCCAGCAGCATGTGGGGACTGGAGCTCCTGGCTTTTGCGGGAAAGCTGCTGGGCGCCCTGAGGAAGCCACTGGGCTCCCTGTGGCTCGGCCTGGTGCCCCTGCTCCTGTGGCTCAGGGAGGCTTTCTGGCTGGTGGGGACTGACGAGGGGCAGGGGCCGCGGGTCCGGGGGGAGCCCGAGGGGGGCGGAGAGGACCAGGAGGGCCCGGAGGACGGCAGCGACGGGCCCCTCACGCCCACCAGCGTCAACTACCACTTCACCCGGCAGTGTAACTACAAATGTGGCTTCTGTTTCCACACGGCCAAGACGTCCTTCGTCCTGCCCCTCGAGGAGGCCCAGAGGGGGCTGCGGATGCTGAAGGAGGCGGGTGAGTCCCCAGCCCCGGAGACCTCAGGGTGCCGGCCCCGGGCGGGGGCTGGGGTGGGAGACGGCGGGGGGCACACAGGCTGGTTTCCCGTTGCAGGCGAGGACGCCGTCCCGGGAGAGGACATCTGCAGGCTAGGGGAGGGGCCCCAGGTCTTCTGCAGGCAGCCCCGGCAGCAGGTGGCCAGTTTGCCCGGCGTTGGGGAAGAGGCAGGTTGGGGAAGAGGCAGGTTGGGGAAGAGGCAGGTTGGGGAAGAGGCAGGTTGGGG